TAATATTTAAACATTTAATGTGCACTTTAAGTAAAAATGTTGCTCTAAAAAATGACTTTAAATTCCACTTTATGCTTAATATATATTCTGCTCATGGATATCAACATCCATACAATTTACAATGACATTGCGTTTGTCATACAAGTATGAAAAGCAAGAAAACTATTCTGGTATTAGCAATCAAAATATTTTGATTCAATTTAGAGGGGATTGATGCTTCATTTTCTGGATAAAATGAGGCCTTTATTTTTTATTTTATTTTTCCCTTTTTACTTTCTCCTATATTTTGAGTATTAGCAATTTTCATAAGAGATAAAAATGAAATGCTATAGAAAACAATTAATTGTATAACTTGCGATTAAAGACTGGGGAGGATAGCCCCATACCACGTTTATACAGTGCCGTCCCGTTTGTCACTATGACGGGGCTTCTACCCACCGTTAAAGGTCCCCCATAGAGTTCAATTACTGTTATCTAACTCCCTATTATCGAGATTTATACAGTGATATATTTAAAGCCTCCTTTTTCCTTGGACTATATTTACATCATTAAATTGATTTATTCCATAGGTGATGATCTTCGCAAATTTGGCACATGCATATTGTGTCTGGCATTTGCGTTAAAGCTACACTGTTTTATGTTTCTAATGAATGGAGTAATTAGACCATGAGAATGCCTTCAAGCTTGGTTCTCTATTTTTACGACAGATGAAGGAAAGAATTCAGACTTGTTTCATGTTTGTTATAATGGAGTTGAGAGTGTTGAGAGTTGAGGGAGAGATATATGTAGAAATGGCAAAGACAGAGACAGCCCAGAGGCCAGCTTGATGACAGAAGTCATGGCACCCAGACCTCGGTGGCTCCTCTGCAAGGCCCGCTGGCTGCAGTTGGCCTAGTGATATTAGCACTTGATGTCTTATTCTTAAACTCACCCATTGAACATGATGTCCTTGCCTGTCTTTGTCACATGACAGATAAAGCTCTGCTTGTCTGGATCAATGCATATCTCTGAGCAATATTTTGAGGTAAAGTGAGTTGCATCTATAAACAATTTGCAGCGATGTAACACGGGGATCCAGAAGGTGTTTTGGGGAATACTGAGCAAGAAGATTCTTACTATATATATAAGGAAATAACAATAAAAATAAATAAATAAAAGGACAGGATAAACAGAGGAACATACACAGTCATGTAAAAAATAGCAATATATTATGTCTGTGAGAAATTAGTTATTTGCTATTATCTCATATTACATATCCTTTGATTTCCCTTATTTATGCTTCAAACCACATCCATTCTTAATTTGTCTTATTCTCCCTACACTCTCTAAATAGGTTTTGTTTTTTGAAACAAGTCATTTGTCCAGAAACACTAAAACAAAAATGCTCTGTCTGCACATTAGGTGCTTTTAGCAAGCCAGATATGCACAGCTAAGCTGTGCTTGCAGAATTTTTCTTCCTAAAGTGCAGTCAATTGACATGTACCAGCACTAATTTGTTTCTAACCAGTAAGGCATGTGCACACGCTGCCCAGTCCAACATGACTGCAGCCATCGGCACAGGGAGCTCACTTTTATTCTCAGCAAAGGGGTATTTAGATGCAGAAGCTTGCCTCAGCCTAGAATCACACAGCGTCTCCAGACTCCCCTTTCTTCTGAAGGCGAATTTTCCTACCCTGCATTAAGTTTTATATGTCCTTCAGAAAACAAGGCGTGGTCTCCTAACGGAATTCTGGATACATGATTTGGAACTGTCTGCCATAAAATCTTTTGAAAACATTGTGTTAATGCCCTAATGAAATGGTAATGTGCATTTTCCCACGATATAAAAATATTAGAATAGAATTTTTATTTATGATTTTGTCACACTTCAGACACTCGCAGGTGCCTTAAGTTTCCATCCTAAGATAATAACGCTCAAGGGCAGGTGGTAGACTTCCAGGACGTTATTGTATTTCTTCAGGCCGTCAGCTTGCAGCCTGGTTTTTCATAATAATTTCAGTCCTGAGAAACTATAATTATTCTGAAGCATACTACTTACATTGTCTTATTTCTTAATTACAGTAGTGACATGAGATAAATGCATACTTATTGGGATCAAAGGCATATTATTTTGTGGTAATTATAAAGAAGTTCTCATGACAACAGTTGCAATTATATGGTCATCAACTACTGATACCATGTTATGTTCTAGAAACTCTGTAATTAAGTCCTGCCAAGAGGGCACTTCCTTTTTGGGGAAAAAAAAAGAGTTTAAGAGAGGGAGAGATTAGCTGGTGTAAAAATCGGTGACATAGAAACCCTGCACCTGTTCAAATGATTCCACAGGAATCTCAAGTAAGAACATTGTATCACTAACATTTGGGGGATTTAATTGGAATTTCTATCTAAACAATCAATGTAAAGAATGTTCTTTAAAATAGCCTTTCTCTTTTTTGACCTTTAGAGTAAAAAGCTTTGAATATACCCCAGGGGAAAAAATGGACTGGAAATATGATAGGAAGGATCGTGCCTTCAAAGATAAATTTGCAGTCTATCAGTAAGATTCTTTTCAGATACTATAATTCATTGTCTTAAAAGTTTTCCTTTAAGATTCCAAAAATAATTTATTTTCCATCATTTCAATTTAAAAAAAAAAGAAAAACTTTAAGTTGCCAAGATAATACATAGATTTTCCATTTTCTTCTATACAAAGATATTCTTGGTCTTTTGTTTTCAAAAAGGCAAAAGGGAAAAAAGGGTGGATATCAAACTGTAAATAAAAGTATTTGGGTGAGGGTCACGTATAGCACGTGTCAGATTTGGGAATCAAACCACCTGAGTTTTGAATTCGTCTCTGCCATTGACTAGATGTGGGACTTGGACAAGTTACTTACCTGTGCCTCAGTTTCTTCATCTGTAAAAGGGGGCAATGACTGTACCTACCTCATAAGATAGTTGTGAGGATTTAATAGTTTCACGTATGGAAAGGGCTTGGCTTCATGCCTAGCGCATAGTAGGCACTATCTCCTCTGTAGGTGTTGTTTTATGTCATTTAGGGATGTTCAGGACAATGGGCCAAGCTCTCCCACTCTCCTCCCCGACTTCAACCGTGGTGAAGAGTCTCTCCAATCGTCTTAATAGGCTTTCCTCAGAGAATCCTTTTCAGCATTGTAGTATAACACATGCAAAGAGAGCGTTTTTTCCAAAGTAAAAAGGGCATTTAATGAACCTGATATAAGACTTACAACTTCCACTACCTTGCCAGGGCATTGTTTTTTAAATTCTAGTACAAGCTAATGTTCTATTACTTTTAGGACAAAAGGTGTGCTTTTTGGGCATTTCCAGTTATCCCATGACATGTGAGGTCTTGGGAACGAAAGTTCTAAGGTATATAATCTTTTCTCAGTGCCCAAGAATCCTAACCAGGTTGCGATGACATGATATTGGAATGGTTATTGCAAACCCATTTTTATTTCCAAAATAGCCCAAATAACCCAAATAAGCACGTCAAGAAACATAAACCCTTAAAAAAGTTTCAGTGAGCGTCGATACAAAAATTAGCCATGCAACACAACTTTCCCTCTATTTAGACCTGTGGATATTATTTTTCTAGATAATTTCACATTATACTTGTTTTAATATTATTTGCTACTTTATATCACTCTCATTTTTCTAATGAAGTTAATAAAGTACTTAATTACGTTAGTTGCTCTGAAATACTTATATGTCTAAATAATAATAAAATAAATTTTAAAATACATATGAATATAATATGAAGTTAAGTAACAAGTATAAATTGCTTATGGTAGAAAATGATGAACTTCCTTTTTATGAGTTACATTAGTAATCTCTGCAATTTAGATCAAGATTATGCAAGCTCTCCTTTATTTAGTATTTTTTAATTTCTTCTGTAATCTCTGATGGATTGTATATTAGATTATATCTGTAATCACATTCAAATTTTTTATTGCTCTTTCAAGAGCACTCAATCTAGATTTCACTTTTTCTTAATCTCTGATCCATGAAAGTACAATACCGAAATGCTGTGATACTTTTAGGGTTAATATTAAGATAGAAAAATTGTAAAAGGATTGGTGAGTATGGAAGAGTTTTAGCTAAATGCAATCAGTTTCCATGCAAACATTAATAGTTTCTTTCTTACAGTAAAAATTCCTCATTAGACCATAAAGAACCAAAGTTTTTTGAGTCTGATTCCATTTCAATCTGTATACATAGCTAAACCAGAAAAGATACAGAACAATTGTTTAATTTTTGAGCTGGTCTAATTCTGGTTCTTTACTAGTCTGGAAATTATTAGATAATTGGGTTTGATGATGTAGATTCCACAGTGGGGGAGAAAATTAGTTAGTATGGAAAGTAATACTCTACTTTTAATGAACAGTGAAGGGATGCCAATCTCAATTTCAGTTTTAGTTTTGAGTGAGTTTAAGAGTGACTTTGAAATAGAAATCAAATGTGTGGTAGCTTTCCACCATATTAGTCTTTGCAAACTGCCATAACAGGAGATTAGGTGGTTTAAACAACAAACATTTATTTTTTTCACAGTTCTTGAGGCTAGAAGTTTGTGAACATGGTACCAACAAATTCAGCCTTTGGTGATGCATCTCTTCCTGGCTTATAGATGACCGCCTTCTGGCTGTGTCCTCACTTGGCCTCTTCTCTGTGTGCCCCTGGAGGGGAAGAAAGAGAGAAAGCGCTGATATCTCTTGCTCTTCTTATAAGAACATGAGACCTATCAGATTAGAACCCCACTCTTACCACCTCATTTAACCTTAATTACTTCTCGAAAGGCCCTATCTTCAAATATAGTCACATTGGGAATTAGAGTTTCAACAAATAAATCAATGCGGGGGGGCACAATTCAGTTTATAAGACCTCCTAAGATGATAATTGCACTTCTCATGAAATTCCAAGTTGAGGTGAGGTGCTGCCTAGAGCCTCTATGTCCCTTTTTAGCTTATGCATATGCTATTTTATGGTCATTTTTATTTATCTTTCAGATCAGCATTTTCATGACCCATTTGTCGAACTACGGGAATGACCGCCTAGGGTTATATACCTTTGTCAACTTGGCCAACTTCGTGCAGAGCTGGACCAACCTGAAACTGCAAACTCTGCCACCAGTGCAACTAGCCCACAAGTACTTTGAGCTCTTCCCTGAGCAAAAAGATCCTCTCTGGCAGGTAACTTTCAACATTCTCTCCTGGGATGGGAGGAAAGAAACTAGCAATTTATGATTGCCTAGTATTGTTGTGTTTGAAACTCTGCTAGAGATATTAAAACTGGCGTTTAACACGAACTTTTACATACAATAGCTTCATTCTCTTCAATAATATTTTTGTTTGTTTATGGATTAAGTATTTTCACTTTTTGTTTGTCTGGAGTTTTGTTTGGTTGGTTGGTTTGGAAATCTTGCATTGAGGATGTTGTTTTACTGTTGCTGTCTTCTTGGAGTTAATCATTGGACTCACATTTAGTGTGAGCACTAAACTATCAATAAAAATGGTTAGGCATTGGGTATCATCTAGGGAGATAGAAACCAAGGGCCACCATAATCTAAGACCCTATAAATAGACCCTGATATATATGTGTACAACACAGATAGTGTAAATAAAAAGGGAAAAGCAATTTTGTTCTCATGCTCGTACAGATTCTGTCTTTAATATGTGTTCATGTTTCTTTAAATTTAACTAATCTTTTACTTGGATCAGATCTATTAATAAAAGAAAGAATTGCCAGTTTTAGGATTGCTGTTACAAATAATTCAACTTCATGTGGGAGCCACTCAGGCTCAAAGCATGAAAATGTACGCTATCTGCTCTGCTTCTTAGCAGTTATCTAGGAAAATGCTACCTCCCACTTTCTTGGTTCTTTGTTCACCAGATTACATTGACCCACACAATCAATAAGCTGGCTGCAGAGAGCAGATCAGATAGTTCCCTGCTAAGCAGTCGGTAGAGGGGTAGCATCATCATTAATGAAAAATCACTGTGAAACAGACTTTTTACTGTCCTCTCTCCCTCTCCTCAAGACTCTGCATTTCTCTTTCTTCCATAATTCATGTCACATGCCACTCTGTGTCTATATAATCAGGAATTCATCCAGCACATGTTTATTGAGCATGTACTATATGTAAGGCAAGGCCAGTTGCTCTAGGGAATGCAAAGAAGAATAAAATGCAGTATTTTCTCTCAAAGTCAGGGGAGGATTTTCTTGTTCTTATTATTCGCCGTTATATATTTCAAAATGTGTTTTAAAACTTACTGCTACAGTAAATCATGCCTTATTCTGATGATTAATTCAGCAGCCCTTACCATTTGTGTTTACGTTGAACTACACATTCTAATTCTTTTCCCCTTCCAATAAGTTGCTTGACCATATACGTGTTTGGTGTATAAGTTAGACAAACAGGTAAGTAGATAAAGAATAGCTATGAGAGTGGATACAGTCACGCCAAGTAGGTGTTGAATTTGATAAAGGCAAAGCATTGTGTCTTGTAAATAGGAGTTACTCAAAAGTGCTCACATGCTTATAAAATTGATAAATCATTGATAACGTATTGATTCTTTTATCACAGATGTTTATTTATGAGATATCTATAATTCATGGCACAGTAACAATAAAAAGTAGCCAACTTAATAAAGCTTGCAGATAGCTGACACATAAAAAGTCAGTCACTGCTCCCAAGCTCTACTCTTCCTTTTCCTTTAGAAAAAAAGATAGGCCAGTTCCAATATGATTTGGCAACATGACGATTCTAAATATTGATTGAATTTTCGTTAAACGTAAGATACTATGTTAGTTGATTGAGGGTATAAACGAAAATTAGAACTACTAATTTACTAATTTAATTTTGAATAGCATCATATATGCCAATTTCTAGGAAATTCTTAATGAATGATAAAATTAATCAGAAAAGGCTGCATAGAGTTCACAGATTTTTGTTATTGTTGTTGTAGTTTATATATGTCTAGGAGTCTTTATATATATATTATTGAATCATAGCTTATTATAAGAGTATTTAAATAACACTCGAGGGTAAATGTTTTTTACTAAAAGACTCGCTTTGCTATCATGTGAATTATATTATTTGTTTGGTTTCTTTTGACGGAAAAATTCAATAAAATTGCAAACATTTCCCATTAACAAAGTGCTATATATCCTCAAATATATTTAAGAAGGAAAACAAGGAATAGAATACAGAAGGATAGTTAAGTTCAAGATGGGATTACTCAGAAACATGAGACTGTGAGGACAGTTGACTTATTGAAGCAAATCTGATAAACTTTGCCAATTATAAGCATCCAAAACACTGCCAATGGCTAAGTAAAGATAAGTGCATAATACTTTCTTTTTTCCCTGGTCCTTATCTCTTCTTTTCATATTTATATTTATCATCACAAAAAAAACACAAAAGAGTTGTATGCATTATCATCCTGTCCTTTATACAATATGAATTTAATTTTACAAAAATCATATAAGTAGGGGCCAGCCCTACGGCCTAGGGGTTAAGTTCGGCGCCCTCTGTTTCGGTGGCCTGGTTCCATTCCCAGGCGCAGACCTACGTCAGTCATTGGCAGCCATGCTGGGGCGGCAACTCACACACAAAATAGAGGAAGCTTGGCACAGATGTTAGCTCAGGACAAATCTTCCTGAACAAAAAAAAATATATATATATATAAGCATAACCAGCACTAATTCAATGTTTGATAGCCCATTCCTCACAACCCTACAGACTGAGGCTTGATTAGTATTGTGTTTCTCTTATTATATATTGTGAAAATAAAACGTTCAGGTACCTTTTTGTATTTATAAGCACGACTACTTATTTAGCATGTTTCACTTTTAAACAGTAAGTCAACTGTTATTTCTCCTTAGATTTTCAATTCACACTTTTTTATTACCACAAATGAAAAGAAAACGTGCAAAACAACCCTCTTCACATCTATTTAACTTTCTTTGGTTCCTTATGTAAATTTTCATTAGCATCAACTACTATGTATGGGAAACTGCTTTGTCACCTAATTAGAAATTGCAATATGAATATCTGTCAATGGCCAGCATGGCAAGGGCACCACAGAACGTGTCTGTGCTCCCCTCACTGGAAGCCGATTCTTTCAAAGCTGTTTCTGTGAGAATATGTGCTGACGACACACAAGAAATTCTATCCCAGAGAGTTTCCTCCTCAGTTTAGTCCCTAGTGTGTAATTCTCATAAAATTATACTCACGGGCACCCATTAATTCATGTGCCCCTTTGTTTTGTTAGAATAATCACTATGAAGTATGAAAGAGTGGGGTTTCCTCATTTTTTTTTACTCTCACATAGAAACCAAAAACGCGGCACGGAGGCAGTTGAAAGGTCAGGTTCTTGCACATTCACTAATCGATGCTTTCAAGCTTTTAAACTGTCAGGTTAGCTCAGTCTCCATCTTCACTCAGTCACTCTAGTCTCACTGTCAACAAACATGCCAAGCGTCGTGTGGCTTCCAGCTTGCCTCTGGGACGAGGGGAATGCTCAAGGAGCTGTGGTCTCTCTTGCCTGCCAGTGTCTCCAGGATTACAGCAGGAAAGCAAAGCAGAGAGTGTTAACCTTAGGAGGTTAGCACCTTTGTTGATTCGAGCTATGAAATCCTCCAACTCCAGCTTAGAAATGCTGAGATTTGAGTATTTGGGACATGGGCAAATCATAGGATCTGGTGACATACACACTGTAGATTCTATTTTTATCTGTCTTAGAAGGAATAAATGAATGCTGACACAGAGAATTACAGATTATAAGAGCAGGAGAAGCGATTAGGGACATCTAGCCCAATTTATTCATTTTAGAAGAAGTGGATGACACCTAGTGTGGTAAAATTTCTTGTTCTAAGTCACTTGGCTTATTAGGGACAAGCCAGGATTAAAGTTCAGGTGCTCTTATTGCTACTCCAGTGTAGTTCCAACCACACCAAGATGGTAGTTTTACATTTATAAAAATAAATCTACTTCTATCATCAACTCTCTCTGTAGAAGGAAATTTCAGGGATATCCTGTTACTTCAGAAGAATCTGATGGTCAATTCAGTGTGAATTTATTTGACCCATACTTTTGAAGTAACTACAAAATAAAAAGAAAATCTTTGCCTTCATAGAACTTATAAACCATAATAGCTCCTTGTTATGTGAACAAAATGACGTTATAAATTTGTCTTCATATTTATTCCTCTCCATACCTTATTTATGACTATGATTGCACTTACCACATGGTATTGCAGACACACCTCCTGTCATATACCAGCTCATGCAAACCTTTAGGGGTAAGACTATAGTTATTCGTGTTGTAACCTAGAACTTAGCATAGTGCCGTAACCGCTGTCTTTAAAATCTCATGAATGAATAAGCAAAAGCAGACGTGTGGGTGTGTGTGCACAAAGAGCAGTAAAAGTGACACTCTTGCTTCTTAGAGAAGAGTAGGGATGTGGTGGGAAATAACCTTGAGGAACACATACAGGGCAGGCAGGAACGCTGTGAAAGCTACCCGAGTAATTTGGATCTTATAGGCAACAAGAAGCAAGTATCTATAGGTTCTGAAGATGAGAGTGAAATAATAATAATTTTTAAAAACCATGTTGGCCAGTAAAGATTATACCAGAAGACTTTCTCCAGGAGAAGGAAGAACTGGGAGGAGCTGAAGTTAGGACCATAATCAACCATAATCTAAACCTGAATAGCTTCATGGTTGTGAAAAAGTGAGATCTTCAAAGAAAAAGTGGTAGAAATTGTTTGTGAGTGAGACACTGAGATTAAAGGAGGATTGATCCATAAGTAATTACCCCCACAGCTGGGGAAATAAGAGCTCTATAATTTTATATTTTTTACTTCCATTTATTCATCTTTCAGCCTTTCTAGTGAAATAGCCGGAGTAGTTTTTTATCACTTCCCAGATGGCAGAGTAGAGGCACAGACTTCATTATCATCTTACCTATTTTTTCCTAATTGCAATTTGATTTATGTATTACTGTGTTGCATTTCTCTTCCTCCCTCAGAATAGTATTTAAATCTTTCAGGAATCCTTCCTAAATATGTAGACAATTCCTTATAATTTTAATTCTTTCACTTACAATTAAGCACTTCACTGTTTTGATTACACAAGGTTGTCAGATAGTCTGACGTCCAGAAATCGTAACATAAGTTGTGAATTTTC